TCATAATCAAATGATGCGGCGACCGAGGGCTATCCTAGGGCCTGTCCAAGGGCTCCCCATGTGATAGGATGAAAAATGGGAAAGAAAGAAGAATGAAGGTGTCCCATCAGGATACCTCAGTAGAGTGTCATCCTACCCCCTTTCGGAGGAGTAGGGAGGGGAGGCTGATTTTGTGAGTAAGGAAGAGCTCATCACAGGCCATGCTGGGCCTACAAGATTTGAGCAAACAGAGGGCACAACCAAGATCCTGAAGAGAAATTTCGTAATGGCCAGTGCTGACAAAAGTTTGAGGAATTCACCGGGAACTGCTGTGAGGCAAATATTTCCCTGGGCATTAGGCTTAGAGTCCTACAAGAAGAGTGTCACCCTACAAGAGAAGGGCTGTGACAGCTCTACTCAGATGTCCTCATTTGTGCCAGCAGAGCCCCACCATCACTGGAATGCCAGAGAGAACTCCCTGAGTGCTCAGAGACCTTATTTGAAAACTGAAGTGAGTAGGGAAAGAATTAGATCAATTTGTGTTTCTAGTAAATTACCCTTTTAGTAGAGGAAAAAATTCACAAGTATTAAGTGCCAGAAATGCAAAATATATCAATATTTCCTCTAAATGTTTCCTATGGGTGATGACTGTTGTTATCACCGCCACCACCGACATCATTACTTTTGCTGTTAAACTCTAAGTCAGATTCACGACTGAATGAAGAACTTCCAGGCCTGGCAGAACTCCTGTTACCTCAATCCTTGTCTTACCAACGGGGCAATAAGTGAGTCATTAGAAAAACCCTAGCCTAAGAGGATGTGTTTCTTTGCTATACAGATAACATGCATGCTAAGATGGGTTATACCCTTAGCATAACACGTATGCTAAGATAGTATTACCTTCCAGAAGTTTGAAACCCTAAACCTGCGTATCGTAAAATATGCCAAGTGACTGACCCATGATTTACTACAACAAATAACTCAATAGGTAACTGTTGAATAAGAGCCCATTGTGTCCAGAGTTCCGTGGCAACTCTGGCCGGGAATGCACGGTATGCGCTGGGTACCCAGGATCATCATATCCACGTGAACAGTGCGAGCTGGCAAAAGTGATCCTGAGTGGAAGAGAAGGACACTCATTTCAGACCCTCGGATCTCTCTGTGCTCATCACACTGGCCTTTTGTTGTTGTTGTTGTTGTTGCATTTTACGGCACGTGCTTCTTTTCTTTCCTGTCTCCTCCAGCACATTGCTCCTTGAGGGCAGGGATCAGGTCGGATCCATATCCAAGTCAACCTTACTATTTCTAAGCAGGGGAGCTAAAACACAGAACTGCTCCAACCTGAATGTGCTTTGGAATCCTAAGATGATTCCAACTCTACCCCCAGCCTTCTGCACCAAACCATATAGGATGGGGCCCTGTATGCATTTTAACAAGCTACGTCCCCCGTGGCTCCCCTCAGATGATTCTGACGCAATTGGTCAGGAAACCCACTTAGAAAACAGTTTTCAATCTAGGGGCGCCTGGGTGGCTCAGTTGGTTAAGCGTCTGCCTTCGGCTCAGGTCATGATCCCAGGGTCCTGGGATGGAGCCTTGCATCAGGCTCCGTGCCCAGCGGGGAATCTGCTTCTCCTCTTCCTTGGCCTCTCCCCCTGCTCCTGCTGTGTGTGTGTGTGTGTGTGTGTGTGTGTGTGTGTGTGTGTCAAATAAATAAAATCTTTAAAAAAAGCAAAACAAAATACACTTTTCAATCTATAAGCCTAGAGTATAAGCCTGGAGCTCACCCTTTGGATCAGCTAGAGCTAGCTTTTATCCCAGTTCTATACTCAGTAGCTACAGGGCAGGCATGTGTAAGTTTCTTAAGTTCTTTGTGCCCCAGTTCCCTCAGTTATAAGATGGGGATAGATACACAACTTAACAGAAAGAAAATAGAATGGTGGGTGCCAGGGGCTTCCAGAGAGGGGGTTAGGACTAAGTTATTTAATGGGTACAGAGTTTCAGTTCTGCAGAGTGAAAAATTTCTGGAGATCTGTTGCACAACAATGCAAATATATTAACATTACTAAAGTGTACACTTCAAAGTGGTTTATCGATAAATTTTATGTGTTTTTGCCACAACTAAAAAGAATTTATTTTTTTTTTAAGATTTTATTTATTTACTTGAGAGAGAGGGAGTGAGAGAGCATGAGTGGGGAGAGGATCAGAGGGAGAAGCAGACTCCCCACCGAGCAGGGAGCCCGATGTGGGACCCGATCCTGGGACTCCAGGAACACAACCTGAGCTGAAGGCAGTCGCTTAACCAACTGAGCCACCCAGGCGTCCTAAAAAGAATTTCTTTAAAGACATTTTTAATAGGGTTGCATAATAGTATCTACTTCACAGTGTTGTTATGAGCATTACACGAAATAAAGCATGTCAAGTCTCTGGCTCAGTCCCTGATCTAGCAACTGCTCAAAAAATTATAGCTATTATTATTGTTGTAGTCCTGGTTGTTAAGGTAGTTAACTATGAATAAGTTACTATTTAAAGGCATTTTAAACCAAATTATAGTCTGAATCTTCAAGCTGATGGAGGTTCTCTATACTTTTTGAAATGGTGTGCCAATTTCTCAGGAAAGCACTGGGCTGTAAAATGGAAACCTATCTCTAGTCATTCATTAAGGACTGTTTGAAACCCTCCCCACAAATCCAAGTAACATCTGACAGACTGCATTTTTCCAGATCCTGACCAACAGACCCCATTCACATTTCACATGTAGATCCTTACGTTCAAAACCCCAACCATATTACAGGTCAATATGTGAAAGCAGGAGGACTATTCCTCTTAGGCGGTCTAATTCATAACACTAAGATCCTCAATCTGCAGAGATGAAGGAGACAAACAAAAATGTTGAACTTTGTTTCTCAGCTTAGGCTTAATGAAGGAAGTGAAGCAAAATCTGCTGCGGTAAAAGAAAAAGTGATCACCATGAAATATTTTGCATCTTTGATGTGCATATGGAACCCAAAGCAGATTTGGGAAACGTGGCATAAACCCAAGGCCGTCATTTTGATTCTCTCTGCATCATTTCGATTTCATGTGCATCTATTCTAATTTCATCTCTCCAGCCTATTATTTAAACCTTAGCAGGACAGATGTGCTGTTTTACAGGGCCATAATCCACTTGGTGGGCGGATAACCAGGAGGCCTTTGGTCTTCATCATTTACTCCAATAAGAAACTAGACTATTGCCTTATAAAACAGCATGAATCCCCCACCCTGATTTCACATGCTATTCTAACCCACAGAACATCCTTGGAACTTCTAACTGAATTCATAAAATTCATCATGGTCACAGAGATGCCCAAAATTCACTCTGGGCTGAATGAAATTAGGCAAAAGTCAGTCTAGAACTATAAATAGTAAAAATGAGAGGGATGGAAAATGACTTCAGGTACAGGATTTTAGGCCGGCACAAGTACTCATGTGAACCAGATTTATTGTTCTAAGGCCAAGAAGGTCAGGTACCCACTGGTGAAAACTCTAATCCCAGTGGCTTTTAAATCTCTCTTGATTGAAAAATAAATTCCGAAGTCATTGCTAAGGATTCCCTGCCACCTTTTTAAAATCTCCATCTGGTGTGTAACTCTTGTAATTGTGGGAGACAAGGGTTTTCAGAGAGATCAGGAGACCCATCCCAGAACTTTTGAGTAATGACAACATTGTCTGTTGAGAGGTGGTACTTGCGAAATCAGAAATGAGCGGCGGTATGTGCAGATGGACCATCAGCAAGGATTATGAGTGCCCCCATCCACCAGCATCCTTGCCAACAGGTGGAAGGAAGGAGAAGCAAGAAGAGCTATGATTGTAAACAGCAAAAAGAAGTGATTAAAAGAATGTAAATAACCAGACATTAAAGATTCTGGGCATACTGCCTTCTGTCCAGTTAATTTTTCTTTCTCTGATGCAGTAAAGATACTACCTTGTAGGGGCGCCTGGGTGGCTCAGTAGGTTAAGGCCTCTGCCTTCGGCTCAGGTCATGATCCCGGGGTCCTGGGATCGAGCCCCGCATTGGGCTCTCTACTCAGCAGGGAGCCTACTTCCACCTTTCTCTGCCTGCCTCTCTCCCTACTTGTGATCTCTGTCTGTCAAATAAATAAGTAAAAATCTTAAAAAAAAAAAAAGAAAAAAAGATACTATCTTGTTACCTTAACATGGGGATTTCCGGTCGATAAAGGGTTGAGGTTCCGATATCCAAGTATTAATTTCAGCTCTAACGTCTCTAGTCACATGCCTTGGAAAATCACTTAACTACTCTGGGCCTCAGTTTCCTTATCTAGAACAGGACCCGGGTCACATACACATTCAGTAAGTATTTGCAGAAGCTTAAAAGAAAATGTATCTGTAAAATGGGGATAAACTAGGAGATCTCAGAAATTCTTCCCAGATTCGCCATTCAACAGACCTGTGACTTCTTTGTCACAGGCTCTTGTCCCTTGTCATTCTAGTCCTCTTCTGCACATCTATACCAACAGAGAAATCTCTTTTTACTGAGCACAATCCTACCTTACATTTTCCCATCCCATGATAGTCTTACCCCTCAGTTATGTTACAAGAAGGAAGCATTTTGCCTTTAAACTGATCATACAGTTATTTTTCAAACAACAATTGGTTACCAGAGCATATTGCTATTTTTAAAGCTCTGTGCCATATTTTAAAAGCTATATAAGGAAATATTTGCATTTTCCTTCCAAAGTTGTTTTCTGCTTGATTTCAAGAGTTAAACAAACGGTTTCAAATACCTTCTGTGTGATGCTTTTCCCCTCCATTAAAATGCTGAAGGGTGGTTTTTTTTTTTCCTCTTTAGGAGGAAAAAAGAAATCTTTCCCCTGTAATTTACTTTGGCTTTCTCAAAAGTTGGGTAGGAAAGTCAGTATAATTCAGGTAGAATCTAAAATGTTCTTGTTGTACAAGCGTGCACAGAAAGGAAGCCTATAATTTCCGAACATTCTTTCAGGAAGTTTGTATTCTCTGTTTTCCAGGGAGCCTTTACTTTCCAAGGGAGTATGATCGACATGCCATTACTGAAGCAAGCCCAGAACATTGTTACGCTTGCCACATCCATCAAGGAAAAATGATCTGTTAAATGAAGCTCTCATCAGGTGGGCTGAACATATACAGTGGGTTTCTTAAAGACAAACCATAATACTCAAGGCAACTTGTTAGTATGCCAGATTGGAACCTTTCTCCCATTTACAGGTCATGTTAATCACAATTTTTGTGTGTGTGTTATCTCACTGGCCAGTTATCCCTCTAAAAATGAACTTCCTCCTTTTGGATTCCAAGCTTATGACTTTATTGCTCGTTAATGTGTTACAAATATGCACTTATGATTTCACAGGGAGAAAAAACAGTGGAGAGAGATGGGCTGGAGGCATGTTAGGTCTTTAATGAAACAGATCTTTCTCAAATATGTGCGCTCCTTTCACATTTCTCACATTAGATGTTTCCCACATTGTTCATTACTCAACACTGTAAATAATTTTAAGGCCAGTCTTTAAAACTAGTGGTTAAATGACGGGGTTCTGTTTATTTCAGTATAAATCTGATAAAACGAGAGATGGCATAGAAAAGTTAAGTATCAGATAGCTTCTGAAAATAAATCTTCAAAACTGATTGCTCTTAACCACCTTCCAAAATGAAACCTCCACCCATTTGAACCAGGAGGTGAGAACTATGAAAGCCCTCATCCTGGGTGAATGCTTTGGGTGAACAGTCACCAGCAATTAAAAAAAAAAAAAAAATGCGCAGAGACACAAGACCATCCATTCTCTCCCTTAATTTCCCCATTTAACTGTTTTGCCATTGAGGCCACTTCCCCCTGTAAATGTATGGCCGGGACAGGGCCCCCTCAGCAATAAACTTGTAGCCTCTAAGAGGACACAATGCGGCAGAGCTGGTGCATATGGTCCCCTGCGAGATTTGCATCACATTAGAGATGCTGCTGCAGGTCGACCGGGCGGTGTGGTTAACGGGCTTAGTAAAGCTGTTTTGAAGAGGTTAACCCAGCTTGTAGTAAGGGTAAATAAACATAACCACCAGCCATTCTTCCCTATTCAGCGTGTGCTCTTATACCGAAGGCTAAAGGGTATTGAAGCTGGAAAGGATCAACTTGTGTTTGCCAGAGGACGCCAATGAAATTTGAAACACCAACAATCAGAGATTTTGTTTCTGCTCCTCATTAAATCATGAGCTTTTGTGTTGAGACTCTGGACGACTGTTCTTTAAGAAATTAACAGAATGGGAAGTTTTAAACTCTACACCAACCTTTTCATGACCTACACAGCAGCAAAGCTGCTACTCTTAGACAAACACCGCGGGGAAGGCTGTTCTGTTTATTTAAATTTGTAAATAGAAAACAGTTGTTTTTTTTTTATTTTAATTTTTCACCTCCTCCTACACCCTTATTTATTTCTTCCATGGCCCCTACTGTATGGCCCAGCCAGGGGTCTCCTCTGCCCCTGCCTCTTCCAGTTCCTACAGGAAGCCGAGAGGGAAGTAGAGCTGAAGCATATACTAAAGGAAGGGCACCTGGGAACGCAAGCAGAGTGAGAGGGGCCCACACACTGTCCTGCCTGGGTGGGGGGGCACCCACTCAGTGCCCTGAGGCAGGGGATGCTTCAGTTCCGACAGGAAGGCAGAAGGAACTGGAACCAGGCAGGACGGTTCCGGAGAAGCACATTCTTGAAACACCAACTCATAATCCCAGACCTGGGATCGGAGGCGACAGCTCTTGAACGGGCTTAGTAAAGCTGTTTTGAAGAGCGGATCCCTCAAGGAGATCATCCCCTTGAAAGGGGATGGGATGTGCTCCACTGGGGTCCTGGCCTGCCTTGGGCGGTGCATCTCCTCTCCAGTGTGTACCCCTCTCTCCAGCCCCTCATGAGAGCACTGTCACTCTTCACCTTGGAGTTAGCTGGAAAGGAGAGTGGAGTGGCTGGAAGGAGGAGGGTGGCAGCTCAGTCTGGCCTCCAGTCAAACTGGGCTTCTGGCCTGCAGTCAGGGGCAACGGGCAGCAGCCACAGGAGAAGCAGCCCCCCCCCCCATCACCACTGGTGTTGCAGCCAGGTGTGCCCCAGGGGAATCCACAGACCTGGTTCAGCCCTGTCTGCTCAGAGCACACAGACACCGGGAGACGGCTCAGAAGGCAGGAAGCAGAGGGAGGCCTCTTCTTACCCTGACCTATTCCATACACACACCTCCTCTTCAGAGTCTTAGAACTAGCCTACGCAGGACCTATGATAAAAGAAGAAAATAAAAGCCTTCCTTCTTACTTCCCTTACACCCCCACTTCAACCCAACTGCCCTTTCCCATCCTTGTGTGTTGGTACAGATAACCCGTCAAGGCTCTAACATGATGAAAGGGCAGACATATTCTCCACCCCTATTACACAGGCAGCCCCCAAACGCTACAGGTGGACCTCCTCAGGCCAGAGACTCACTGAGAGCCAAGCCCTCCCTCTGAGGGACTCTCAGATGCCAGGGGAAAGCACTGGGACCTCAGGAAAAGCAGCCCCCTCAGTAAGGTCTCTGGGTGGTGCTGAGAGCCCGGACATGGCTAGGACTCCCCAACCCCATCAACATCAAGCTAGTGGGTTCCTAGATCCCCTACAATGTGGGACTGACTGGTCACCACACCCTTACCTGACACCCAAAAGTCACATTTATCGTCTTCTTCAAAACCCTGTGTTCCCAATTATGGTAATACCATGAGACTAAGACCCACTAGAGCCAAAAATCTGGACCAGTTTGCCCTGGTCACACTCTGAGCAGAAACCCTAAAGAAGGGCCCCAGAAGAGGGGTTAGGTATAGTTAGTTAGGTTCAGAGATCCTGGGGAATTCCTCCAGCTAGCAATGGACTACAAGAAGAGGACCTCGCAGCCATCTGATTAATTAAAAACCATACCTGTTTATATTTTGTGTAGCTTATCACAAGCTGCTTCGCCATATCACCCCCTTGTTATTAATTCTTGGGGGCTAAATTATGGGTAACACTATTAAAACATTATCCGAACTAATGAGAAACAATTACTTAGAAAATGAGCCAGGACAAGATTGAGTTGAGAACATCCGTGGTGATCACCATAGATTAGTTTAATAAATCATCAGGTGCAGGGCAGGACTGACACTATGTATGCAAAGCCCTGTCACGGGAAAATGAAATTGAGATTTTTTTTGCATAATTTTTTCATTAATCTCAATAGGACCCGTGTGGTGTAGATTGTTTTATTCCCCTAATACCTTGCCGGAGGGGCGGGGGGTGCCCAATAATGTCTTCATTGTTTTACTGAGGTCTTAATGACAATCTGTGACAACCTCATTTTAATGTATAGAGGATTATATCAATACAGTCATGTTTTATTGAAAGGGTGAAGGGAAACTCCAGTGGAGTCAGGCACTGTCTGTGAGCACAAGTTGGGAATTTCCCGGGCATCTGGGTGCAGTTCCCTTCGGACTTCTAAGTATTGAACCGCTGGCTGCCCTTAGGTCCTCTCCTCCAGGGACAGGCTGGGAAAAGCTTCCTCAAGAAGACTTCACCGCCTCCTATTTGAATTTGAAAGTAGCTCGTTGCTTGACATATTTTGTTGGGAAAATGGAACAGACCCTGTAGTGGTCCTCCCCCCTTTCTAAAATATACCTGTTATCATTATCATTAATATATTAACCCCTAATAGTCCTGCCCTCGTTTGGGAAACTGACCTTCACTGGAGACGTTATATTTTCTAACGATGCCTTAAGCAGATAAAAAAAGAATACCTGCTTTTTAATTTGAAGGACATTTTGGTTTTATGGTTTCCGTTCCTCTTGGAAAGCTAACTGTCGTCTGTTTTTGTTTTTATTTTGACCTCTAGTACTTGGAAGGCAATTGATCGTACAAAACAGGTTATAAGATTACCAGCAGGGACTTGTGCATATTAATGCCGGCGAGGGGCACCGAACCGGTCTGTCACCGCGGAGTTTATGCCCCAGGCTCGGGGACACTGTCCACCCAGCCCCGAGACCCTCCCCTGCCCCGCGGGGTTTTCACATTGCAATTTCGGGGCAAAGTGGAGGAAAGTAATTAGCAGAGCTCAGCATTTAGATGTTTAAACTTTAACACTGTACGCGCTTTATTTTTAACCGGGGCAGGGGAGGTGGGGCGAATAGAGGGAACAAAATGGCAAATAAATTAACTTTTCAAAATACCTAACTTAGTACCTGAAAAGCTTGCGCCGCGGCCCCGGGCAGCTTTTGCTGTCCTGTGATGGGCGATTGTGGATGTAGGTGGTGGTAGTTTGTTTACATTCCAGCAATTATTTGGCGGCATATTTCCTTCCGAGTCTGTAAGAATTGCCAACGACATAAAAAACGTGATGTGTGGAAAGGAACTGAAATCGTCGTTAGCGCCTTTTGTGGTCGTTTGCTGTCGATCCGACCCCGTTCCAGCTAAGCGGACTGAAGCCTGCAGAATTTTTATTTAAGGGGGAAAAAAAGTGTTTACAAGTCTTGTAAAAGACAAGGGATTTGTCGCTCGCTCCCTTCCTTTTTAAATTTTTGTTTGTAAGTGAACGGCTCCGTGTTTGCTTCTTCCGACGGGAAGGGCTCGGCGAGCCCGGGCAGCGCGCCCCGTGGGAAAGACGTGCGCCAGCGGAGCCGGGACGCGCGGAGCCCGCGTCCCCCGCCGCCCGAGCTTCCCGAGGACCGGGGGCGGCCGGCGGCGAGCGAGGGCACCTGGACGCGGAGACTGGCTGCCCGGGAGGCACCGCGCGCGCCCTCCGGAGGCGCACCGTCCCTTCCCGGCGGGGCGCGGCTTGGAGCGGGGGAGCCCAGTGGGTCGGGACTGCGGGCCCCGCTCGCCCGCCTGCCCGCCCGCCCACCCGCCCGCCGCGGGCCGTCCGGAGCCCGCGAGCCTGTCGCGCAGCCCCGCTGTAATGGTGGCAGATCAAAGGCTGCCCCGTGTCCCCGCGGAGTCCAGGACAATCCCGCGCCTTTGTGAGCTGTTGCTAGGAGCCGGAGAAACTAAGGGAAAGTGTCAGGAGCATGTTAATCAGACTCGTTACAGTGTAACAATAACGTCTCTCTCCGGTCTCCCAGGCCCCCAACACCCCGGCGCACCCCGCGCACAGGCCCGACACCTGCGCGGGGCCCTCGAGCGGGTCCTGGGGACCGACCGGCCCCTATGTCCCTCCAGCCCTGAAGTCAGCGCCTGGGCCGGGCGCAAGAACTAGCCCTAGGGACACTACAAGCGACTGGCGCATCTCCTGGGCCCAGATCTTGACCAGACCCCCGTGCGCACTTAAGTCTGTCGGGCTCAAATCCGGATTCCTGGCCAGAGGGACCTGTGGAGGATTTGGGTCCCCCTGCTTTCAGTCATTGAGTTGATTTCCCAGGATATTCACACATGGTATAGAACCAGGAGAAAAACGAGCATTCCATTTTAAATTGCTTTTTGCTTGAGTTTCTTCCAAAGATGCCAAAACCAACTTTGCCAGTCTCCCTCTCAAATCCACAGAGGATACTATAGGTGATAATCCCGAGTTTAAAAACAAAACAAAACAAAAACAAGAAAACTTTCCTGAAAGTAAAGATGTCTCTGAGCTTTTTTGAGAGGATCCATTCATTCATTCGTTTATTCATTCAACAAACATCTGTTGAGCGTGACCCAGTGCCAAACAGCTAGCTAGTATGAAAGTCGCAGGACTGGTTCCGGATGCACTTTTCTTTCAAAATTAAAACGCTCTTGTGTGGAGTCAAAGGAAGAGCAAAGGCGTAAAATAATACCAAATGCTGCAACAAAATGTGCCATTGACTACAGTAGTGATAGTAACGAGAGAGGTGCGGATTAAGAATTTAAAACATTCGAAAAACTACACACCATATGCTTGGAAAACCAGCCACTATTTTATCTCCTTTTTTCCTCCTCTTTTGGTCTCCAGGAGCTGGGCCAAGCTGCAGTCCTGAAGCCGGGAGTCCTGCCTGAAGTCTGAAGAGTAAAGGCAGTTTGTAAACAGCCTGTCAGATTCACTAAGGGAACAAAAACACTCAGTCTTGTCCCATTCTCACTTTAGCTATACACAGGGAAGTGGAAAGCTGCGCTCTGGCTTAGGACAGAATTGGGCCAACCGGATGTACCTTTTTCCAGTATGAGCTCTTATTCAGGAACCAAGGAAGTTCCTTTAGTTTAAATGCTGAACACTGAGTCAGAGACAAAGCTTTCTATTTATCAGAAAAGTATAGAAAACTCACCCTCGGATCACCTGTGCCTGTTGACCTAGAGGGAGTCCTGTAACTCTGTTAGACTTCTCCATTGGTCAAAATCAGTTTCTCCCACTGTGTGTGCAACATGTAAACCTATGGAAGAGTGGTCCCAGAGATAAGTCTAAGCCCTGGGAAGAATTTTCAAGATTCCCTTCATTACATGTGAGAGAGTTGAAATACTGAAAACTCCATCGTGTGAAAAACAAGGAAGACCAAACACCCGCTGTACTGTGATGTTAAAATACCTAGCTAAAGGGAAGAAATTCAGTGACAAACTGGATTTTTTTTTTTTTTTTTTGGTCTACATAATGCCACATAGCTGGTTTGGCTGGGTTCTGTTTTGTTTCGAAACAATTAATAGATTTCCTTCATTATTCAGACACAGTAAAAGAATCAAGAATAAAATGAACATTCCATTTCAGATGGCCTTGTGGTGGAGGGCTTCTTCAGAAGACTACACACTCTAGGCATGTGGCTTATTTTTCTTTTTTAATGGCCTCTTTTGAGCTCCATGGAAGAAAGAACATAAAAACTAACATGAATTTCTGGTTTAAGATTCTCCGAGAAAACTGTGTTAATAACCCAAACTCCCAAATGAGGAAAAGAGCAAACCCATTTCCTCTAATGGATTTCCAGGGACTGGAATTCATGCAGCAACTTCCGGGGGAGAGGGGGGTCGAGGGGGAGAGACTCTGCGATGCAGTCTCCCAGTCTGGCTTGAGGGAGCTCCCACCACCGGCAGCCCCACGGGCATTACCACACCAGTGCCACATCACCTCTGTCAAGGGGCTCTGGCCACGTGCAGCCGGGCTACGAGGGGCTGCAGCTCCCAGCCGTCTTCTGCAAAGCCTTTGCATAAGCTGCAACCCCTTCTTCTCCATCACACCCAACAAACTAACCATTCTCAAGACATACCTCGAAGGTCACGTCTGTGAGGTCTCCCCTGATCCCCCACAGACGCCTTGGTGACGCTCCCCCAGTCCTTCCATGGCACTGATCAGAGGGCTGCTATTACGTGTGTGTGTCCCCCAAAGAGTGTGGCTGTCCTCAATACTGGACAATGCCATGCATCTTCACCTCCCTGCCCTGCTCATCTCTCACCCCCAGCAAGAGTTCGCTACAAGCATGTTCATCCCAATCAGGAACAGTCCTTCCTCCATCAGACACTTCTGTTCTAATCCTGGCTTTCTGATGACCAGGTTTTGTTACATTCAGACAAGTTATTTATTGTCTCTGAGTATCAGCTTCTTCAACTAGAATAATAATACCTAACTTGGAGAGTTGCTATGAGGAGGCAGTGGGCATGGAAATGCACCCCCCCCCCAGGTGCCCCTTGGACTGTCCCCACTTGCTCGCATGGCCGGCCAGGCGGGGGACAGTGAGGTCAGCAGACAGCCTCCAGCTGCCAGCTCCTCCTTCAGCATGTGCCTCAGCTACAGACCGCTGCCCAGGGCCTCAACCTTCTCAAGGCAGCCTGCCTCTGGGGAGGTGTAGATTTTACCACGATTTAAAACAATAATCTTTATAAAGGAATGAATGTCAACTAAATAAAGACAAACAAATAAATAAATATGGTACTTTTTAGAAAGTACTAGCATCATGTTTGGTGCACAGCAGGCATTTAGGAAAGCTCGAATAATTTCCTTCTCTGTGCCAAACCCGTGCTGCAGTTTAGGACAGGAACCCCCCCCCCTCCACAGCAAGGCTGGCTGGAAAGTGAATTTCTACCAAGTGAACCCCATTTTCTCGTTCACTTTTATTGGCCAGTGAAGGATATGTTCTCACAGGAGAACATTTGGGACAGATCCCTGGACATGCTGGGTATGGCGGCACACTCCCAGCAGCCAGGCACATTCCAGGGGACCTTGTGGCTCTTTTGTTGTTGTTGTTGTTGTTGTTGTTGTTCAGAACCTCCTAGACCCATTCCTGGACCATGGAAATTTCTCTCACTATAGAGCTGTTCTGACTACAAATTCATGTTACCATTCTGTCCAACCATCCTTATTTTGTAGAGGACACAAGATTATGCAGTACCGGTTCCTGGATGAAGGGGGCTCCGTTCACATAGAAAAAATAATGTGAGCGTGCTTCCTGGAGTTGTGCAAATATTGGCCGTTCAGTGGACTTGCTCAAGGTCACACAGCCGGCAAAACCAAGCCTACAACAAATGTCTCGAAATTAAACCACGAACTGCACAGCTCCACATCCAAGAACTCCTCAGATTTCTGGTTTTACATTAAGTTCCCCACTAAGGAAGCTCCAGTGAAGTTTTCTGAAACAATGAGAAAGTAGCTGGAAACTCTTTTTCTTTTTTATTTTTTTTTGCGGGGGGGGGGGGGGGCGGCTGGGTAGGCTCCACACCCAGTGTGGGGCTTGAACTCACAACCCCAAGATCAAGAGTCATACATTCCACCGATAGAGCCAGCCAAGGGCCCCTGAAGCCTCTTTTTCTTTCTTTCTTTTTTTTTTTTAAACATTTTTATTTATTTATTTGACAGACAGAGATCACAAGTAGGCAGAGAGGCAGGCAGAGAGAGAGTGGAGGAAGCAGACTCCCCCCGGGAGCAGAGAGCCCGATGTGGGGCTCCATCCCAGGACTCTGGGATCATGACCTGAGCCGAAGGCAGAGGCTTTAACCCACTGAGCCACCCAGGCGCCCCTGAAGCCTCTTTTTCAATAAGGGCCTCCCTCAGACACAGTGCCTGACATAGCAAAGATACTTGAGCTCATCGCAACTGCAACAACTAACCAACGGCACAGTCAGGAAGCTCCACCACCAGGCAAATGCCACCTTGAAGCAGGCCTGCATGGCCCCCTGGCTCCTGGAGGCCCTGGGTCACCCCTAGATCGAACATTTTGCGGGACTGCCCACTGAGGTCTGGTCTGCGTGGCTGGTGAATGTCTTGGATGGTCTAAAGAAAGGAATCCCGGTGGAGGGATGAAGGAGCAGGCTGTAGCCGTCAAGGACAGACGGTGCACTCACCGAGCTATACTAGCCTCCCTGGGCCTCCTCTGGGCTCCAGCCTCCCTGCTTCGGCACCTGTCTGTGGCCTTCATTCTCTGTCCCATCTCTCCTCTCTAGTCCCTGTGTCTGCTGCTGGTCTGCTTCCGCTTCCCTTTTCCTTAGAGTCTTACTTTCCTCCTTCCCCTTGCCATTCCAAACGCAAAACCAACAAATGTAGGAAAGCAAACAAAATGGGGTAAAAAAAATTTTTTTCTAAAAAAAAAAAAAAAAAAAATTTTTTTCTAATTCTGTGTCCATGTTTTGGACGTCATTCTAGCATCTTAAATCATGAGCTGCTTGCAGGATGCTCCACAGTCCTTCATTTACTGTGAACCTGGCACAGGAAGTTTATTAGCCCATTTTACCGCAGAGAGCCCGAGTGCACAGGACAGCTAATGTACTTTGGGAATCAAAGTAGAAATGTCAGTGAGGCTGTTAATTATTCATCAAATTAAATATGGCTGCCAAATCTGCTACTCCTAATGTCCTGCATTCGACCATGCTGTCCTAATGCAAAGGCAACATTCAGATTCTATTTAAGCAGTAAAGATGAGGATTCCCGTATTCCTGGTTCTTTATGTTTTAGTAGAAATTGTTTGAGTATGCAGCCTGAAATTCATGACACTTACAAGTAACAAAGTTCAAGGACATAAAATTTTATTTCCATTGTGTTCATAACTGTATTCCTTTTGGGGGTGGCGAGGGAATGTTACCAGAGAGGTAGCAGTAAGTGATTATTTAGAAAAACAGATATTTTCAAATTATGATAAACATTCCATTTTAGACAACTAAGGATGTGACCCCCCCCAAAATAAGTTTTTACAACTTTGCTTTCTAAAAACCTTTAAAAGAAATCAGTAAGTCTTTGTGTTATCTAAGGAATTTTAAATTGTGAAATATATTTATGAGAATATTTAAGGTAACTATTTCCAAAATAAGTTGCAAATGAATGGGCCATGATTTGCATGCACAGCCTCTGGAAATGAGCACATTTTAAAATGGTTTGTTCAAACAGATCCACTGGTCTTTTTCCTTCCTTCTCAAAGAGCATATGTGTTAGATTAGTACTGAGAAAAGAGCATGTTTTCATAGCCTCTGGTGCTGCATTTATAAAAATCATGATGATTTTAGGACTGCACCTTCATTTTTTTGAATTTCCAAAACTTGTCCCTTTTTACTCTTTTATTTTCTTTCAACAAAACAAAGACCTAAGAACCCTTTAAGAAATTTTATACATTCCCACAGAGTCCCAGTTTGTTGACCTCCAGGCCACAGAGTAAAACCTTTCTTTTAAGTCAAGCATTCCCCATTGGGAAGCGTTCCAGCTTTTTCTTTTTATGAGGAATTTTAACTGCTGGACTTAATTTAATTATTGTATTTTGTACATACTCCCAGAAGCCCCAGGGCATGAGCTTTACTTTTTTTCAAAACTTTCAAATGAATCTTTAGAAATGCACATTTCTGATGGTAACGTTCCTTCTTTTCACTGGTATTTCTAATCTAAATACCAAACTTGGATCTATCTGTTTCCTGACTTATTCATGGAGAGGTCTCAGAGCCTCTTTGCTTCAGATACACTTGTGAGTAGACAAGTAAGGATGTGGTTATTTGAGCCCTTAGTGTGAGTGCCTGGGCTTTATAACAACAAAATAAAAACCATCTCCAGCTGAACGGCATTTGAAAAACTTGATGGTTCTGGGAACGAAGTCTTTAGTAAGAACGGCTCCTAGGTGGACACTGCCTTGAAATTAGAAGCATGCTGGCCCCATGGCTGTAGTCTGCCACCATCTGTCCTTTCAGGGTCTATGAGATACTCCCCCCCCACCCCCCAACATCAGCTGCCCCTCCCTGATCCCAGCAGAGGCTCATGTGCGAACACACACTCACGCACAGGGAGTTGTCATCCCAAGCTAACAGCAAAGATTCAATATCTTCATTTCTCCTCTATCTTAATCCATAAACATTTCATTGGATCCTTCTGATTTCCAAATCAAAAACTTTCACCACATCTTGACTCTCAAAGATGAAAAATAATTTTTTGGGTTTTTTGGTAATTGCCTTAAAACTCATTTAGGAATGTTGAAATGGAGGGCAAACATCAATTTTCAAAATTCATAACATCTGCCCAAAATGCCTCATGGGGCCGGGGCTGGGTCAGTTATGAAGTAAGTTTCATTTCAGGATTTCTGAGATCTCTGAATTTGGGAAGATGTTTTTAAACAGAATGCTCTGTGAGATGAACCTGATTTTCTTACGGACTTTGATTTCAATTTTTAAATTATAGAAATCAGGGGCACCTGGGTGGCTCAGTCATTAAGCCTCTGCCTTCGGCTCAGGTCATGATCCCAGGGTCCTGGGATCGAGCCCCGCATTCGGCTCTCTGCTCAGTGGGGAGCCTGCTTCTCCCTCTCCCATTCCCCCTGCTTGTGTTTCCTCTCTCGCTGTGTCTCTGTCAAATAAATAAATAAAATCCTAAAAAATAAAATAAAATAAAATAATAGAAATCATGGCATTTAGGTGCCAGGGAAGGACTTTAGAAATCATCTAGGCTCATGGTTCTCCACCCTGGCTGCAATGAGAATTACCTGGTGGGCATTTAATAAATACCAATGTCTGGGCCCCACCGAGACTCATTAAATCAGACTCTGGTCTGACCTGTCATTTTGTAGATTAAAAAGAAAAACAAGCAAAACTCTGAAAGATTAAATGTGGCTTTTACATTAGGGCTCTAAGTCTAATCATGCTGTTAACATAGTTCGGGAACCCCCAGCCAAGCTAAACTTCAGAAGCAAACTCACTTATAAGTAAGTAATGAGTAAGTTTCCATAATTCTGTTTAGGACCACATTAACTATAAGATAGTTGACTGACTCTTCCCCTGTGACATACTTTCTCATGTTATACATATTCACATCCCTGACTGATTCACCGAAGAGGTTGGTATAATCATAATCTTAAAATGTCTTAGACTTAATTTTTTAAAATAAGGTACACTTATGTGGATGGCTACCCTCCAGGACGTTTTATTTAAAAGTTCGACCTCTTCAGTGGCAGCATCGTACCTCATGACTAATATTCCGTAATTTTTAAAAAAGTTTTAAAAGATTTTATTTATTTGACAGAGAGAGAGATCACAAGTAGGCAGAGAGGCAGGGCGAAGCAGGCTCCCCGCTGAGCAGAGAGCCCGATGCGGGGCTCGATTCCAGGACCCCAGGATCATGACCTGAGCTGAAGGCAGAGGCTTAACCCACTGAGCCACCTAGGTGCCCCAGTATTCCATAGTTTTTAACATACATTTAAAGCATACAGTCAGGGCGCCTGGGTGGCTCGGTCATTAAGCATCTGCCATTGGCTCAGGTCATGATCCCAGGGTCCTGGGATCAAGCCCCACATCGGGCTCCCTGCTCTGCAAGAAGCCCGCTTCTCCCTCTCCCATTCCCCCTGCTTGTGTTCCCTCTCTCGCTGTGTCTCTCTCTGTCAAATAAATAAATGAAATCTTAAATAAATAAATAAATAAAATGTACAGGCAAAAAGCATTATTTGTCCCAGTGTCATCTGAAGATATCAAAACACTTGAATTTTACATTGTACAGTGTTTATAGAAATGGAGTTGGGGATGTCAAGTAACAACTCATCTGAGCATGTCCCACAGTCACCGAGGGCAGGCGTGAGCTTGGCCAGCATCTCTAAAGGCCCCAAGAGAGCGAGAGAGGCCACGATGAGCCAGGGTTCCTTACAGTAAGAAGCCAGCGGCTCAGCAGGCCTTTGAGCCATTTTGTAAACACTTGCCCTCATCAGACTCCCCCAAGAACATCACCTCCTTCACCTTTCCCACTCCCCCTAATCTGCCTCCTTCTCCCCTTTTCCCATCAGAGATGGCAAGCTTGCAGGTCACAAAGAGAAGGGGAGAGCCCAGTCTTTTTTGACCTGAGGTCTTGGTCCTCTCAGGCAAGGACCTCCCCGAGAGATCCAGGAGGCTTTGATCTCAGTTATTTGCCTTGGGCTCAAAGACCTCTGGTTGGCCACTCCTCTAGGATCCTAATAAGGCCAGGACCTGGGATCACAGATGCAAGCCTTTTTTTTTTTTTTTTTTTAAACACCAAAGGGAACACTGAGGTGCAGTGATTCAAGCTATATATTTGCTAGGAGAGGGTAGGTTAAGGCTTGGCAGACTGAGATAGAACAGTTCACTGATTCACTCCTCCAAAAGGTATTTATTGAGCTTCTATATTGTGCCTGTGGTAAGTGACGTCACTGTGTTTGTGATGGCTAGGAGGGTAATCCTAGAGATGGTCCAGGAGTTTCTGTCAGGAGTGAGAGCAGGGCGGGCAGTTGAGACCTTCCTTATTCTCCTTCTCCCCCACCCTCATTCGGTTCTAACTACTCTGTATTATCCCTTATAACAAACATGCAGATTAACCAAGAATATAGCTCCAGGCCTGAAACCAAAAAGGGACTAAAAAGAAGGAAACCTATAAGTGTGTTACCAGTGAATGCTGCCGGCAGCCAGAAAAATGAATGTTTATAAAAAGATTTAAACTTTTTCATGGCAAGGAGGACTACTGAAAGCAGTATGTTTTTGCCTATCAGATGAATCAATCATTTGATGAGTGGTAAGCTCTGGGGCCGACACCCATGGGGGGTGGCACTGTGATCAGGTGCCAGCCCCCCTGGAAAATATTGGGCAGTGCGCACCAATGGACTTGTCATCATCTTCTCGGACCTCTTAAATCTAGAACTGGGGATTTATCTCAAGGAAACTGTGATCCCAAATGTAGAAAAAGCATATGCCTTTTTCTGGCATAGGTCAGAGTCTGGAAATAGACTGCTTGGCTCTCCCACTTATTACCTACTGCTGGTACCTACCTCCCTGTGCCTCAGTTTTATTATCTGTGAAATGGGAGTAATAATAGTTGATAGGAAACTTAAATGATAGAAGATATATAAAGAACAGGTTGATAGGAAACTTAAATGATAGAAGATATATAAAGAACAGGACCCAGCATATAGTAGGCCCTCAACAAGTGTTAGCTGCTACTATAATTACAATGCAATTACAACCATGTTAAAAAGAAATCACATCAGAAGAAAACACACCAAACTGTTAACGATAACTGTGTTTGGATGATGAGATTCTTCTTTTTTACATTTTTGTATTTCCAAATTTTTTCATTAAATACATATCAAATTTTGGGGGCGCCTGGCTGGCTCAGTTGGTGGAGTGTGCAACTCTTGATTCCTGGGTCATGAGTCTGAGCCCCACATGGGGTGAAGAGAGTACTTAAAAAATAAAATCTTAAAAAAAAAAAAAAAAAAAAAAAAAATATATATAT